ATGAGTAGATAAATGGGGACTCTCACTCCGGTGGGAGGAAAAATGCTGGCGGTGCCTTGCAAAAAGGAGTTGAGAACAGTTGCCGGTAAGTGTGAAACCACGCTCGCCCGAAAAGGGCGCGAAGCAACGGAAACCCCCCCGCCTCCTGCGCTCGCCAGCTGGGCTCTGCTCTAGGAAGGAGGCTCTGGCAAACCACTTCCGAAAAACAATTGCCTTGAAAACTGCAAGGACTCGTCCAAGCAGTCACTGCAGGGTCAGTAATGACTGAGCGCAGACAAAAAAAAAAAAAAAGAAAAATTGTTATAAATATGCATATTTGATACTTTTTTTTTTTTTTTGTCTGCGCTCAGTCATTACTGACAACAATTGCCTTGAAAACTGCAAGGACTCGTCCAAGCAGTCACTGCAGGGTCAGTAATGACTGAGCGCAGACAAAAAAAAAAAAAAAGTATCAAATATGCATATTTATAACAATTTTGCTTTTTCTTATGATTCAGATAGTTTAAAGAACGGTTGACAAACACGTTTCAGTTTGTCTTCTCAGCAGGGTTGTGGTTTGACAAGTTGATCTTTAACTGTTGAAGAAAGGAACCGACTCCTTCATATTAATGGCCTACCCAGGTATTGGCTGTCTTCCTGAGAGCATCCGTTTCTTCCCACTCTCCAACCAAATTCAGTAAAGGATCGCATAAGGTCCAGGCCATAAGGCTCTTCATGAAACTCTAAAATGGAGCAAAAAGCTCTACAGGATCAGGCAACACTTTGTGTCATACGGTGGCCAATCAGATGCATCTGTGAAATTCACAAGTACAATATAAGAACCACAGCTCTCTTCCTTCAGTTGATATTTTAGGTGTTTTCCATTTGATTCTGGGCTAGACTCCTTTTAAAGCCATCTAAAAGTAGTAGCTCTTGACAACCCTACCCTGCATCAGTGTTTGTAGTCTTTTTTTTTATCTGTTCAGTATGTGCAATTCTTGGAGACTGCCTAGACAAGTCTCTGCAGTTTTCTTGGCAAGGTTTTTCAGAAGTGGTTTGCCATTGCCTCCTTCCTAGGGCTGAGAGAGGGGCTGGCCCAAGATCATCCAGCAAGCTTCATGCCTAAGGTAAGACTAGAACTCACGGTCTCCCAATTTCTAGCCTGGTGCCTTAACCACTACAGCAAACTGGATCAGTCTTCTTTTAAAGACAATTGGTTTTCCCTCAGGCAGCTGATGGCAGATGGACTTTTCAGGGCAGAGGGAGCTTCTCTTACCAATGGTTGTCATGACTTTAGCAAAGTAGACCCTTTCCTGAAGGCATGTACCTGTTCCTTCAGAGCAGATATAAAAGCAAAGCAAGTAGCACGGTCCATCCTAGGAGGACGGCATGAGACATCATGCAAGCGCTAATCCTGTAGATTCAGTCTTTAGGGAGAGATCAAGGTAAACGTAACAATGTTGATAACAAAATTAATTCCATTGGTTTATTAGTACTACAAGCATCTCCTTGTTTGAAGAGAGGTGTACAAATGGGAAAAAAATAACATTAGATAAATGAATTGTTCTGAATATACAGTTTCCATCCAGAAATAAAATATCGCCACATCCAAACACTTCTTTATTAAACCATTTTTAGTAGGATTGACTCTTTGTTTTTAGTTATTTTGTTATGGATGGTTTTATTCATTTTTTTTGTATTATGATATGGCCATATGGCTAATCAATAAAGTGTTATTGTATTGTAGCAGGATTGATAGTTTTGACAGCATACTCTTTTGAAAATGATCAGTATTGACTATAGCCCCATACCTTCCAAACTCTTGGTGACCTTGATGCAATGTAATTAGGCTAACTCTATGCAGACTTGAATCCTTAATATTACTTTATCTCCTATAGTTAAAATCCTTTGGCTCTTACCACTGACTGGCCAGTACCCGTATTCTGGTAATACAGATTTAGTTGTATTTAGCTGCTTGGGTTACTAGTTCAACGATATCTTATCTTGTTAAATTTCTAAACAGGATTCAATGTACAAATGTTGCATGGAGAAAATAAGATTACTGTTAGAGAATTAGATGCTTAAACCAGCCTCTTTCATACTCAACTGTAACTCCCAGAATTCCAAGCCAGTATGGCATTTGGTTTTCCTGGCTGGGAATCCTCAGATCTGCAGTCCCAACACTTCTAGAAGGTGCCAGGTTTCCCCAAGCAGAACTTTCAGGCAAAGGCTGGTATTTAGGATCTTGTGCTAATTTGGTTTGGCATCAAAATTCTACTTGGTACTTCTGCAAGAGAAACACTGAACAGTTAAAGTCTTTGTACTCTTAAACAGAAATCCAGGCGATTGCACCCCAACCTGGTCCCTTCCACCCACCAGAAAACAGAGCAGCTACAGGCAACTTGCTTGTTCAGAGCACCAAGTGATTATGGCAAAGGAGAGTTTTATTTTGCTCATTATGGATGAGAATTTTTGTCCTAGTCCTTAATGTCATCAATTGTAACTTCAGGAAAAAGTTCTTTATTTTCTATTCTTCCCAAAGGAACCCAATGAAATTTCATGTTATGCTTAGAGAAATGTCTATGTCTATGACTGAGTTCTTAAATCATTGGTAAACCATGGCTTATTGAATAAACCAAATTTGGCTATGTTCACAAAACATACTAAACCAATGCTTGGTTTATAAGCAAATATAATAGTTTGGTTCACACAACAGATTAAGCCAAACTCAAACAAACCACATTATACTTCAGTGTGATGCATGAACCCAATCTCTATTTAATGAAAAAACTACCTTTTCTGAAGTGGCCCTATACTTAGGAAATGCCTAGCCATCTGGAGTTCATTAGGCCCCATTATTTCCAGGTTGTAAGAAAGCTCTAAAGGCCCATTCATTTACCTAAACTTTCCCCTGAATGGATTTGCACAAGACACTTAACTGGATTATTGAATTAACCCATTTTCCAGTTTCACAGTACACTGAACCACAAATAGCCAACTAGGCTGGGTTTGTTCATCGCACACAAAGACATTCAAGTACAAAAAATCTAACCAAGGTTAAAATGAACAAAGCTTTCCATGTTGTATGTATGCAGCTGTTAGGTCTTTAACTAACACGATCAAGTTGTGTGAATTAGCAAATTGCTCTGCCTGAGATTACAGTTGTTATTGGAACTTTAATACTTTGGGTGGCATTTTACTAATGTAGATTGTCTGCTTTTAAGGTTGGGTTTACTCATATTTTGCTCCATTTTTTATAGGTACAGTAAATTGCCTTATAATGGATTTTGCCCCTTAAAGGTGGTCGAGAAATATTTTCAGTTAAAAAGAGTTAAATACCTACTTTAAGCAAGAGCACTCAACCCATTAACTTTGCATAGAAATAAACAGCATCTCTTACTACTCAAGTCATCCGTAGCTACAATTTTCCAGTGTATTAGTTCTTTGTCTTCCTAGTATCTGGACTGCAACTGTCACTGAGTCACACAGCTTGCTTTAGGCCCATTGCCAATGTGAAGCCAGCAACAATGTCTGGACCAATTAAAACCAAATAAAATCAGGTAGTCTTTAGGTTTACCACCT